TGTGCTATAGCAAAAAGTAAAATGATAATTGTATACCTTGCTATCCTTTATTTACTTGTAACTCTCCAGTGGGTTTATCTGTCTAGCTGTTGTGAAGTTCATTGCTTGTATCTTTCTCCTTAACCTTGATGATATTGATTAAGCACACATCTTTTCATTACTGTTTCAACTTACGGAATTTAATCCCTAATGAAAGTGTTTGAAGACCATATTGCAAAGAATGTGGCCCAGAAAAACATTTTGCATATGTTTTGCTCAAGAAAGAACAATTTTAAAGCTATGCCTACAAAAATAAAATTATCACCTAATATCACTTAGTAAGTAGAACTCTGTGACTTCTGTGAATAAACTACATGTTTATGATAAGTTTGTGTTAAAAACAAGGGAATTGAAAAATGTGTAAACAATGTCATTCCTATATTTTCAAGGAAAGGTGGGGATAGAAGAATTACAAATGATTAAATTCTACTAGGTAGAAATAGGTTGTAAGCTAGATTGAATAGTTACCACATAAAATTTAAAATAAAATGATATCTACAGTACCATTTATTGATGAAAGTTAACAAAAGCACTATCTGTTCAGTTTCTTTTTTTAATTCCTAGTAAATTTCCATGCTGCATAGTTTAACCTGGATTATGTTTTTGAAACTATTTGAGATGGCATAAGGCATATTAAGAGAAACTTTTATTTCCAATTGTCCTTTAGTGATGTGCATGTATGTCTTGCATATAGGGTTCCTATTTCCTTCAGTGACCAGAATGCCCCCTGTTTTTCCTCTGAGAGTAGATTATATTGATTCTGCATCAGGATTTGTTGTTCCAGTGCATTAGTGGCTGAGTTGTCTGTTTTCTGCTTGATTGTGATTCTCATTTTGTCCCATTTTATTTTCCTTTCAAACCACCATCTTCATTTGAAAAGGCAATGAGCGATACACCAAAATGAGTCTCTTCCTTCTATCCATGCTTACTAAGGCTCTGTAGTTTAGAAAGGCTTGAAGTTTGTTAGCCGTAGTTGTATAGACTGTGTATAGTCCATATTATTTCAGTGATTGTGAGAAGAATATAGTTGTTCATCTTTAAATACTGCTTGACCAGTTAGATGCTTTCATGTTTAATACCACTATAAACAACTATTTTGTGGAAAGAATGGCCAGGGGCCATTTCCTCTGAAAGCAATGCAAGTTGAGTAAACCTTATCTGGAAATCCAAAATAGCTCCATAATTGTTCACATAAGTGACTGAGAATGACACCTTTGCTTTCTGATTCCTCAGTGTGCACAAATTTTATGCCTAAAATTACTGAAAATATTGTTTTAAAAGTTACCTTCAGGCTATGTGTGTAAGATATGTATGAAACATATTTGAATGTAGTGTTTAGACTTGCATCTCATTTCCAAGATATCTTATGTATATGCAAATCTTCCAAAATCTGATACCCGAAACACTCCTGCTCCCAACATTTTAGGTAAGCGTTACTCAAAGTGTAGTTTAAAGGCCTCTCAAAATAATCACTGATTATTTTTATGACATTTATTCATATCAATGTAATTTTCAGTTCCCGCAAAAATAATAATTCTTATTTGATCGTGTTATCCTCACCTAGAAACCAGACAAAGACAAGTAACTGGCAACACTGCGTAGCGAAATAATGTGACCTTTTTATTTGAATGAGAAGCTGGTCGTTTTAACTTCCCCACCTAAAACTACTTCCATGACTTACAGTGAACAATCTTCTCTAATATTTCACAGATGCTTTTTTCGTGCCAGGAGCAACTTGAAAAACTGCAAGTGTGGTTTTCTTCATTTTGTGATTAGTTGAGATATTTCAAAGGATGCAGACAGGGCTTTCTTAGATGATGCAAATCTTATACCACTTGTTCTGAGTTGTATTTTCTTCAGATTCTCTAATATTCCCGTGAAGAACTCTGGTGAACGATCACACAAATTGGGATGAAAAATCTTTAGATCATGTTCCAACTTTGCAGGTTTTAACGCATTTTTGCAGGGAATGGTGGCACATATCACATTGAAGTCTTATCTTGTGATTTATTTCAATTGCAATGAATCAAAACTTGATACAACTGCTATCGTATTTTCTCTTCGGTGCCATTTTCTGAAAGACAACATTTAAGAAACAAAAACACTATGTAATTGTTGGCACATTTTCACATGCAAATATGAACCATAACATTTCTTTACTGACCTTAGAATCATAGAATGATACAGTTGGAAGAGACCACATGGGCCATCCAGTCCAACCCCCTGCCATGCAATTTTACATCATACAGTTTCTGTTTACGATTTTTCCTCCAACACACAGACTGCTGTATGTGGTCAGCTCAACTTAGACTTGGTGGACCACGGCTTGGGCACCAATGAACCAGTGGTTTCATTGTACAGATGACTATATAGGAAATCCTACAACCAGTTTGAGTCCAGATGGTGATGATGCAAATCTCAGAGCACTGGTGCCCATTAAAGGCTTTCTTTTGCACACGTTTGTGGGGTTTTGTTGTCCACCTGCTGCTGTTTGAGGCTGTTGCAATCCAACCACCTACTTAATCCCCTTTTTACCCAAACACCACACAGATGAACAGGAATAGTAAGTTTATTAAGAAAAGAGTATATAATATAAAAACAGTTACAAAATACACCCATGAGTTAGATTTCCAGAAGCTTAACAAAAGCAATGACCAACTCCGAACAGGAATTCCAAAAATCACTTAAGGCAAAAGCAAGAAACTGTAATCCAAGGTTTGTTGCACTTAAACAAAAGCTTGAAATCATGAATATGACCATAATCCAAAAGCTTGATACTTAAATTTTACTATAATCCCCAACACTTGAAATTTAAAACAAGATTTGTAATCCAAACAGGAGGCATGGAGCTTAAACAGGAAAACAAGATATAGACCCAAGAACAGAACTCCTAACTCACCGCTCGCAAGACAGGCAATTTGACACATGAAAATCCAATGTTGATCTCCCCACTGAACATTGACTCCAATTCCTTAAGAATACTCCCTCTTGCCCATGATAGCACTCTTTCTCACACATGGGTTCCCTTTGTTTATCTTTCAGCCTCTAGGAACACTGGATTTGTCTCTGTTTATTTATTTATTATTTACAGCATTTATATACCGCTTTTCTCACCCCTAGGGGGACTCTGTTTCACATTATTTCTTTTGATCTATAAACACTGAGTTATCTGTAACCCTCCTGTCTCCTCCACATTCCTTTCAGAGTCAATCACTGACTGATTTTTATGAGAATCACTTCCTGTTTCTCTGACAACAGGTTTACTCAAAACATTTCCATCATCACTTTTGCTTTCCCCCACAGAAACACCAAGCTCAACCAGAAAATCCTCATCCTCAGAGGCTTCACAGGCCTCAGTAGAGGCTAATTTTGAACCGCACCAAATGGACAGCACAGATAGGGCCTGAGTCAACTTTCTAGTCCCAAGCAAACCCACTTTTGCAAGTGCCTGCTTGCCATTGCGTCAGGGAGAAAAGCTCAGGCGAGGCCCAATGGGGAGAAGAAGTGTGTCCAGTATCCCTCGCTTATCAAGCCCTCAGTCCCTCTGGACTCACCTATTGCAGAATTTGATGAAGCCCATTGGTTCCTTTGCGGGTCCCAAAATCAGCTGCCACATGGACATTTTCTGAGGGGAGGGGAGAGAGAGACTCCCAGGAAGGAGAAGAGGGGCAATGGGGCCTCCACAGGACTTCTGGCCTCCTACTTGGTGCCAGACAGGTCCACGTCACTCGCTCCACAATCACAAATTCTAGCCTTATATGATCACTTTTTCCAAAAGTCCCAACTGTTCTGATTTCAATGATGAAATCTTCCCTGTTTGATTAAAATCAAGTCTAGAATTAATGATCTACTTATTCCTTTTTCCATTGTTTAAAAAGGGAAATTATCTTTAGTGCACATCAGCACATCTTTAGAGAGCCTGTGCCTAGCAATTAAGCTCCTAGAAGATTTCTGAAGTAGGTTTCAGAAAGGTATTCTTTGATCTCCTTGTCTTGGTTTTGTGACCTTTAATAAAGTCTTGTTTTCATTTTTGACATCATTTATCTTTGCTCAAAAGCTTTCCACTGGTCTCATTTGATAAACTCAAGCTGTGCATTGATGTGTAGATATTAACACATGGGTTGTTCTTTTATTCAGCTGTGAATATTTCTGTGGCTTCCATTCTCTCCTTCTTTGTAGCATTCACATCCTTATGTTTAGAGCTTACTTTTGGACAGATGTTTAAGTTATCATCCCCAGCCCTTCAAGTATTTAGTGTAAAGCCCTCTTGATCAGATTTTCCATGTTTTTTGCAAAAGATTTTCTTCCCAATCTTTGTCAAATGTGGTTCATCTGTGGCCAGTAGTCCTTTGTTTTGTCTCCACCACCGAGACTTTCCTCTTGGAAGACAATCATACTCGTCCACAAGTGACTGCCAATGATGATGATGAATAGCTTTGAAATTAAAATGATCCATTACATGATGGGATGTATGCATTATCTTCCTCCTTTCTCCTTGTCTTATTTTTATGGTTTTCATTTAAAAGTAAATACATAATAAATGAGAATAATTAAAAAAAATACTCAAAACAGTCAAAAAGAGAGGTCAAGAGCATTCAAAAGTTCAAAAGAGATTTTTTTAAAAATCTTGAGTGCACTTAGTAAAAAAATCTAGTGCAGTAGAGCCATGTATTGTGCAAGGGATCTGTTCCAGTATACTTGCATCATATTAGTTTCATGTAAAATCTGGAGCCCTTTTTCTGGGGAGTGATGTGGCCAATTTGGGCTTCCTATTTGGCATAAGATTTTCATGAGATAAGCAGCAACAGCTCTGTCATACCGAGGCTCATTTCCCATTCAGGGCTATCCAAAATTATTGTTATCTCATTGTAGCAGCATCTCCTGCTTTTATCATTTTTCTCTTTGTGTCCATGAGTGAATCTGTAAAATAGATTAATGTTCGATCTTTCTTTTTCCCACAGGAGATTGAATCATGCCTTTAGTCAAACGGAATATTGAACCTCGGCATCTTTGCCGAGGAGCTCTTCCTGAAGGAATTACTAGTGAATTAGAATGTGTAACCAATGGTACTCTTGCTGCTATTATACGCCAACTAAGCAGCCTAAGTAAGTTATTAGATTATTTTTTTTAAGTTTTGTCAATTTATTTTATGAATAGCTGAATGTCATCTGAAAGGGGAGAATTAATGGAATCTATGCTTCATCACCCTAACTTTAAGGACTATTCATTTATTTTCTGTAGAGATAGGGTGCAAAAGAATGATAATACTTTTTAAAGAAAAAGACAATGTTATAGTAGTGAAATAGTTGTATTTCTGACCCTTGGGAATCTAGCTAAAGACCCACTGCAATGCATGTATATATTATATACACCACTATGTCCTAAATTAATAGAAAAAAGTGTCATTATTATATATATTACCATTTCCTCAATTAATCAGAAGAAGATAATCAACAAAAAATATACCAACTCTAGCCTTATTGAAATTATAAACTGCTTTGCTGAATTACAAATGAACATACTGTTGTTTAGTGATCAGGTTTGCATTATTACTGTTTTTAAAAGACAAAACCTTATCCTGAGGAAACCTGGTTTAAATAGGGTTTTCCCCTTGGTTATTTAAAGCTCTATTTTAAGTGTTCTTAGCTTCAAACATCCTACAAGACTGTTTATCCATGATCAGTCTTCTCTTGCAACAAGTGTTGCTCTAAATTTGAAAATACTTAACATTAGGATGACTATTTGGATGGTACCATCTGTTTGACAGTAGAATCAGCTAACTTGGAAAGGGTTTTTAAATTGAAGTAAGATGGCCATCTCTCAGAGATTTTTAGCTATAGAGTCTTGCTCTGGCAGGGAAGCTGGACTAGATAGATATCTTTCCATCTATTTGATTCAATATATCTCTGTATCCTGCAAACTCAGACAGGGCTGTCTTCTTTTATAAGTTTCTCTTTTGTAGTGTTGAGGTTGGAGAAGATCAATATTGACAAAGTGATGGGAATTATAAAGGGGATGTTCTCAGCTTTTTGATTCCCCGTATCACTCTAGAGATTCGGTACTGGGAACATATAATACTCTTTCCTCTAAACATTATTTCAAAAGAGCTTCTTTCAGTGAATCTTAAAGAATGAATAGAAATCTTTGAAATCACATAAGTAATTCTCTGTTGAAACCTTATTTGCGCATAAATGTGGGACTAGCGTGCATTCCAATAATTCCAAAAAACTGCTCCTCCAAGTGTTTTGGACTTCAGCTCCTAGAAATCTCAGCCAGCTTACCAGCTGTTAGGAATTGTGGGAGCTGAAGTCCAAAAACATCTGAAGGAGCACAGTTTGAGAACCTGATTTAAACATTTAACCACTTGTCCCTTTCTTCCTTTACAGGCAAGCATGCTGAAGACATATTTGGAGAGCTCTTTAATGAGGCCAACAACTTTTACATCAGAGCAAATTCTCTTCAAGACAGAATTGATCGACTTGCTGTCAAAGTTACCCAGCTGGATTCAACAGTGGAAGAAGGTGAGTAATTACTTTTGAGTGTTGGGCCAGAAAGAGCATAGTAATTAATTGCACAGCAATTACTGCTTTTTCTTTTGGTGTTGGTATTGAGCGATATTTTAACCCGTCTGAAAAAAAAGTTCAGAGAAAAGACAGAATAAAATACAAAAACGAGAAGGGTTAGCATCAAAAAAATGGGAAAATATATTGCAACCTTTTTATTTTTCTAGCAAAAAAATCCCCATTCTCTCATTGTCTTTATAGGAGACCTATTTTTAATTGTTTCTATTTTTTGGATGTTTTTCTATTTTATTAATTAATTAAATTACTGTGGATTAATCAGGATGCTTAACTCATTTGTTCCAGACAGGTAGCTTTGGGCTAACTCAGTGTTAGCCCAACTTGGAGTAAACACGTTGAAATTAGTAGGGCTCATGATCCCCCACTAACATAACTCCTATTGATTTCAGTCAGTTTCCTTGAGGAAGGGCTAACAGCTTCTGATTGCATCCATTTGGAATGTAAGCTACTTTAGGATAAGCTCTCATTAAGACAGCTAATTCTCAGACATTATATAACCAGATTCTAAGAATCTAGTCTACTTACATGTGTGGTGTGAGAGGTTCTTGATTTTACTGAAACAAGAACACGTTTTTATGAATCAGTGATAATGTCATAGTATTGATCTGTATTGTTAGCTCAAAATGTATGAAATAAATTACCACAAAGAGCAGCTGCTTCCTATAATTAGTTTAATGTACCTTTTGTAATGTACCCTTGAAATTCACTTCTACGCAATCACTGAAGAAGGATTTGAGTTGCTTGGCTAGTCTAGTTAGTAGCTTTCATGTAGAGAATGGAATGTTTGAAAATGGATATCTTCATTTGGCCTTAGGATCTGAGGTGTGCTGTGATGTCAGACATAGGACTAGCAGTACAGTCCTTCTCTTCTCTCATATAGAGTAAATATATGGAAGAGAAGACTGAGGGCTGTGCCACCATGATGTGAAAGACATAACTGATTGTCAGTTAGTTGCTTGAGCTTGTTTAGTTTCAGTATTTCATAGGATACAAAAGAAATAGCTATTTATTCTGAGGCTTGTGTAGGCCCACAAAATGGGTGTATGGTTGTATTAATTAAGAATTCAGTTCTCGACGTGGTCACATTGAAAAATGCATGTGTTTTCTTGATCTAAAATTGGTAGTTCAGACAAAACATAAAGTTCTGCATTTGAAAAAATACATATAAAAATAAAACTGGTGTGCTGTTTTTCTCAAAAATCGGCATGATGATTTTTTTTTCAAAACAGAGTAATAGATTTTGTCATTTGTTAATACGGATGTTGAATTCAGTTGACATTCTAATCAGATCTGTAAAAGTATAACACATTTTTAAAAAGCTGACTTTTTGGTTAAAGAACTGTTGTTTAAAAGCAGCATGCTGCATTTTAAATCAAAGATCATCTTAGGTTACAGTTGAGGTCAGAGGAATGAATGCCCCAAGACTCCATAATGAGAACTGCGTGGAGACTCAGAGCGGCTTACAACCTATAAAACAGACAGTTACAGTAAAAAATGCAACATAAATTCCCATGTAACAATTAACAAGTTACAACCTTTAAACATTAAAACATTTTAAAAATCCCATTCCCCATAAAAATATATAAAACTGACATTAAAACATATTAAACATCTAATTTAAAAGCCATATAATTACCTATTCTTTTAGAAAATAAGAAACAAATCAATCACTGGCGGTCCACTATATATAGCTCAAGTATTGCACCTCACTATAGCTGTCCATCTGCTAATCTTCTTCCGGGAAGGCCTGCTTCCAAAGGAAGGTTTAAGCTGCTTCCAAAATGACAGCAGGGAGGGGGCTGTTCTAACCTATTTAGAGAGGGAGTTCCAGAGCCATGGCGCTACCACCGAGAAGGCCCTCTCTTGTTCCCACCAGCCTGTGCTTGAGACAGTGGTGGGACTGAGAGCAGGGCCTCTACCGGTGAAGTCAGGGCTCACGTGGGCTCGTAGGAGGAGATGCGGTCCGGTAAGTAGACTGGGCCCAAACCATTTAGAGCTTTATAAACTAAAGCCAGCACCTTGAATTCTAACTGGTAGCTAGTGCAGTTGTTTTAGGAGAGTTATTTCTGTATACCCAGCTCCTGTAAGCAATCTGACAGCTGGCCTTTGAACCAGTTGAAGTTTCTGAACATTCTTCTGGGGCAGCCCCACATATTAGCTAAAGTTCCTCATTTCACGAGATATGCAGGGTCCTCTCAGGTGAAGTAATCATTTATTTCTGTCAACAGGAGGATTTTAGTAATGACTTCATATGGTCTTTATAACCTACGCTCTACAGTCTTTGTGTATGTTGTATAGTTCCACCTTCATATAAAGCTTTTCTAAGTTGAGACAGTTACTGAACAGTTTTTATTCCAGCAAAACAAAGTTTACTGTTAATGCCAAAACAATGTTTCACTCGTGATATTTGCATTTCTTAAGAAACAACATTAACTTCCATTGGAGAACAAATTTTCTTCTAAAGATTTCAGTGTGAAAAATTTAATGTGTCCTGTATCAGTCTTGAAGATGTACAAATAAATGACAAGCATGTCTGTTCTCATGTATAAATGAAAAGTATCCTGTCCTATATATCCATGTATGACTAGAAATTTTAGTCAAAAAATCTATCCAAAAACATGGGTTGGCATATCTACAGGTCAATGTGAGTACTATACCTTGAACTTTTATCAAAAAGAGAATGATTCCCTCCATTGAGTAGAGTGGGAGAACCTAAAAGAAGGACTGATCCCCTCTACTCTCTCTGCTGTGACTCCACTTCTGTTCTTTATGAATGCCAGGTCAAGAAAGTGGTGGCAGTAGCCAGAGCTGGCCACCTGAGGCAGAATTGGTGCTTTCCCCTCTCTGTAGAATAACTCTCAACATATCCAAATCCATAATTTATACATGAAATTGACATAAACATGAGTATATATGGTAACTATGAGTATATATAGTAGATTAAATTGAGAAATTAAAAAAAATATTGCCCTATACATACACACACATATTAGGCCAAATTGTGTTTTATTCATAATCTTTTTTAAAGACACGGGGAGGAGAAAATTGAGTGAAAAGAATATAGGAATAAATCAATTTTGCTCATTATTTCTTGCCTTTAGTCTGTATTTTCATTGAATGTGCTCTTAAATATTACAGTTACCTCTTCCCGCTAATTATGTCTATACCAAATTGTTTTTCTTTGCCAACAGTTTCATTACAGGATATCAACATGAAAAAAGCATTCAAAAGTTCTACAATACAGGATCAGCAGGTGGTTTCGAAGAACAGCATTCCCAATCCGATCGCTGATATTTATAATCGGAGTGACAAACCCCCTCCTCTGAATATTCTTACTTCATATAGGTATAGTGAATTGGGATGTATAAATTATCCTCCTCTGTTGATCTTTGTATGCTTACAGTTTCTTTGTTAATAATGTAGAACAAAAACTAATTAGATGCTGTTCAGTTGAATTTAAATTGGTTAATGCATTTGGAGCTTCTGGGTTGATAGTTGAATTGCAAACATGAATGCTAGGGTAGTATTACATAAGCTGAATAATAATAATAATAATAATAATAATAATAATAATAATAATAATAATGGACAAGTGTCTGTTAATGACTGGATGTGCTCAGGGGTTCCATGACCTGAAACTTTGTGTTTTTTTACAAGCAGCAGTGATACATGTTTATGTGTTGTTTTTAAAAAACGTTTTGACCTCATTCATTCTCTCAAATGCAAGCCTTCATTTGCCCCTGCCCCTATTAATCATTGAATAGAAAGCATACAGACAAAATTATAGTATCTTTATGGAATGCCATAGAGTTCCGTCCTAGTCCTGTTCAATATCTTTATTACTGACTTAGATGAAGGGTTAGAAGGCATTATCATCAATTTTGCAGATGACACCAAACTGGGAGGGATAGCTAAAACCCCAGAAGACTGGAGCAGAATTCAAAATGATCCTAACAGATTAGGAGAGATGGGCCAAAACTAACAAAATGAAGTTCAACGCGGACAAATGCAAGATACTCCATCTAAGCAGGAAAAAAATGAAATGCAAAGATACAGAATGCCTGGCTCAACAGCAGTCTATGTGAAAAAGATCTTGGAGTCCTTGTGGACAACAAGTTAAACGTGCGGTGGCAAAAAAAAAAAAAAAAAAGAGCCAATGGGATTTTGGCCTGCATAAATAGGAATATAGTGTCTAGATCTAGGGAAGTAATGCTACCCCTCTATTCTGCCTTGGTCAGACCACACCTGGAATACTGTGTCCAATGCCCTTAATTGAAGGGAGATGTTGACAAGCTGGAATGTGTCCAGAGGAGAGCGACTAAAATGATCAAGGGTCTGGAGAACAAGCCCTATGAGGAGTGGCTTAAAGAGCTGAGTATGTTTTGCCTGCAGAAGAGAAGGCTGAGAGGAGACATGATAGCCATGTATAAATATATGAGAAGTCATGGGGAGGAGGGGGCAAGCTTGTTTTCTGCTGCCCTGGAGACTAGGACGCTGAACAATGGCTTCAGACTACAGGAGATTCCACCTGAACATGAGGAAGAACTGTGAGAGCAGTACAGCAGTGGAACTTTCTGCCCCGGTAGAGGCTTCTTTGAAGGCCTTTAAACAGAGGCTGGATGGCCATCTGTCAAAGGTACTTTGAATGCGATTCTCCTGGTTCTTGGCAGGGGGTTGGACTGGATGTCCCATGAGGTTTCTTCCAACTCAACAATTCAACAATCCTATGATTCTAAAACCAAATAAAAAGCACAGATTGACATAATTCTCAATGCATTTTAGAAGAAATCATTTAAGCAACATGTTAAACTTTGATTAAGATTTGATTAAGCAAATCATTTAAGCAATCATTTCAGAAATCATGTATGCATATGCTATTTTAAAAACTTCTTGATTAAAAAAATTAATGATACATTTTAAAGTCATGCCTAGCATGCATGGCAGTTTCTCTTGCTGAGTAAGGATGACTGAGATGTGATAACTAATGGCAAAATGAGCATATTATGTTTATCATATGAATATGTTTCTTGCCTAGTTAGATCTTGTGACTTTTCTTCAGTATCTGTTCTTACATGGGCACATCTTTTAAAGTGTAGTAAATACTGCTTAGATTTTCTTTTCCCAAGTAAAGTGCTATATAATTATCTGATTGAAAATGCCTTGCCCTTGTATAACTATGAACCTTCCATTACTTTTTTATCATTCCTAATTGTTCCTGATAAATCGGGTCTACTCTTCAGTAAGTACCCCAGTGTCCTATGTGAAACGTCAGGACTGTACACTTGCTTGTAATGTGAGGAATGTGATTTTTTTTTTTTAGTTTTAAACATCTGGTATGTCTCTATCTGTTTGTTTTATTCACAGAGATGATAAAAAAGATGGCCTGAAGTTCTACACTGACCCTTCCTATTTCTTTGACCTCTGGAAAGAAAAAATGTTGCAAGATACAGAAGATAAAAGGAAAGAGAAGAGACGACAAAAGGTAACAAGCAATTTGTTGTTTATGCATATGTTTATGCATTTGATATTTGATTTACCAGCTGCATTGATGAATATCTTGCCATTGAAATATTATCCCTAATACTGGAATGGCTTAGAAGAAATGCTCTTTTAAATTACTAGAGGTTTTTGTACTTTCAAAATATACATCTTTTAATCTTTTCTTTTTACAAAAATGTGTGTATACTGAAGACATTGGGAAAAATCACCTGGTTTGAAATGCATCTAAAAATATCTCAAACTGTTAAACAGTTCTTCCATAGTTATTTTAGCTTCAGTGGGCTGCTGCTAGATTGCTTCTACATTAAAATGCAAACTGAAGAAATTGGTCCTCCGGGAATGTTTGCATTTGTTTGCTCTTTATGGGCAGGTTTTAGTGTATAGCTTTGTCATGGAAAAGCAGTTTCCTTATTACGTGTGTCTCTACACAGCTGTTTAAAAATAAATGTTCATAGCATCAAATCTTCAAGTCCCTGTAAATTTAAACCCTAGGAGCAATGCAGTCCAAATTTTGATCGCTGCTATATTTGATAATGATCGTTCTTTTTTATTAAATAGTTAGAATCAGCATCTGTTTATAGAAGATGTGCTGGCATAATGTGATTATGTACATACTGTAGTTATATTGCATTTACACAGCTATTAGCAGTTATACAGCTAGTATCACGCTACAGCTCCTGAGCATTGCACAAAAGTACATTGAAACAAAGTTAACTAAAGAAGCCTCAATTATTTGCATGCACTGAGAAAACAAAGTAAGATTATTTCAGTCTTTAAGTCAAAGTGTAAATCATGCAACCTTCCAGATTTTGTTAAACAAGTTCAAGCAGCTCTAACAAGCACAGCTATGATGAAGCAGCTGGGCAATTGCAGTCCAGTAACTTTTTTCATCCAGATTTCTTAGTGAAAGGGAAGTCTCACAGTTCCTGGATAGGAAGACTTTGAGGACTTTGTGTGGTTTTTGGGAGTGAACCATTGCTGTGGTGATGGGGCAAAGCAAAAGTTGACAGGGGAGAAATGCTTAGATTTATTTTTGCTGCTGCTGCTTTTTGAAATTTATTACGCACCCATTTTAGTTACATTAACCAAAAAACCCTCACTTCCTCATTTTAAAAAAATCCTTGGACTGAAATGTTTCAGAAAGTCTCCAAAACTTGGTGAAGATGCCTCCAATGCTTTCTAGAGTGCTTTAGGGACAAAAATAAATTAAATTCTTTTATGGCCAGGTGAAGCAAAGGCGAGGCTCCCCAAGGTATGCTGGAGGACTAATATGGCCTCCTAATGTTCCACAGTTGCCTAGCCTTGTACTATAAAGTGATAAAGGCAGTGTCAGTACTGAAATCAGTCTGGAAACTAGATTACATTTGATCTAAGTGTACAGATCCATCTGTACAGATCACCATCTTGTAATAGGAAAATACTTCTGTGTTACTTGCTGCAAAGGGCTGTGATTTTTGGTGTGCTTTTTAGATAGTAAAATGATAATATGCCTGTGATGAAAAAACTTGTTTCACTATGTTTTTGGTGTATTTTGGATGCTGAATTCTAGGAACACAATGTTTTACCATACAAAGTTTTTTCACAAATTCAGTATTTTTATGAATTCAGTGTTAACACAGATTTCATTATATGCAGACAGTGATATTGTCATGTAATTTTTAAAAATATTTTTGACTGAATCTTTGTGTTTCATATCAGCAAATTAAAGTCTGTTATAACATTCTAACTGCTTTCTTACTCTTTATTCTCCAAAGGTATCTTAGTGACGTATTACAAAATAATATTTCAAAGCAAGTTATGAAAAAACGTTATGGGGCAAACATGTAGTCATTTGTTGATTTGGAATGCCACACTCTAATAAATCTGGCATATATTTTTAAAGAAGTTTTCATGGCCCCCAGTTTTGCAGGCCTGCGTAACTAATGCTCGTCAGAATTATTAAATTCAAATCACGTTAACATTGGTTTTGTTGTGTACATCTGTCTGTTGTTTTCCATTGGTATTATAAAGCACAACTGAATTCTGTCAGGAACATATCTTTTTTAGAACTTCATGATATGCTTTCACAAAAACTTGCTGGGCTCATCTGCACATCTAATTTTCATACTTTTAATAGGATTTAACCTGCTCTTTCCTTACTTGTCTCTCTCCTTCGCATGCTTTCTCTCTTTTCTGTAACATTAGGAACAAAAGCGTATAGATGGCACAACCCGTGAGGTGAAAAAGGTTAGAAAAGCAAGGAACAGGCGCCAGGAATGGAATATGATGGCATATGACAAAGAGCTTAGACCAGACAACAGGTTATCTCAAAGTCTATACCATGGAGCATCATCGGAGGGATCTTTGTCCCCTGATACTAGGTCTGTTCACGAGAAGATTTTTTTTGTTCTGTCATATATTCAGATACGTTGACTGCCCTTAAATTTGTTGCAGATTTCAAATAACTGTTTTAAAAGTGCTTTCCTTGTCTTTAGAAGGTCTGCATGATTTAAATTTGTTTAATTTTCCTATACATCTGCTTTGTATGTTAATTAAATGTATCTTGTAGAAGAGAATACTAACTGCTATAAATACTACTTTGAATATGTGGTTTCCCTCAGCCAAACAATTCCAGATAATTTCAAGATACAATTTTTTTCATAAATTCAAAATCATTGGTGATTATTTTACACTGAAGGTCTCTGTTTTTCTGTTATCAGTAGATTGCTCTGAATAATTAAGTCCTTTCCATCAGAGTTGAGTTGATATTTAAACACTAGCTGCAGAATGAGAACAATTTTTTATTTAAAAAAATGCTTTGAATATTTTTTTCCCTCAAAATGTTCAGCTTGGTCCCTGGTATTTTTCTCCTTCTGTGGTCTGCTCCCTTTGAACTAAGTAGGAGGTCTGTGCAAGAGGGGAAAGAAGAATTTTTAAGTTGATTTGCCATGCAGTCTGTTTAGATGGATGCTTTTCTTTGTGTTCTGTGACTTAATTGGAATAAAAAAGCAAACACATCAGCATACTCTACCATTACTTCATAACTCCACTAACTTCTGTTACAACTTGCTTATGCCTTAGAGCAGTGGTTCTCAACCTGTGGGTCCCCAGCTGTTTTGGCCTACAATTCCCAGAAATCCCAGCCAGTTTACCAGCTGTTAGGATTTCTGGGAGTTGAAGGCCAAAACATCTGGGGACCCATAGGTTGAGAACCACTGGCTTAGAGTAACAATTTTAATGTCATTACTTTTAAAACAAAATGGGATTGAAGACAATCTCCAAGAAGTGACTACCGGTACCATGGAAGTTAGTTTTTAAAAGGAATTTTTACTGTCTTTTTACTGTATTTCTAGTGTTTTTATTCAGGATGTTTTTTCCATCTACACTAGAAGAAGCTTCTTTAGTCATGCTTTGTAAGTTTTTCCCCATTGGTAGAGCTTTTGACTTATTTGATTGTAATATTTCTGAAAATACTAATATAAATAATCCATATAATTTACTCATAGTTCTGCTTCTCTGTACTTGAGAAAAATATTTCTTCATCAACACTATTCCTGCTAATTCTAGACTAATTAACTTCCTCCAGTCTTTTAGGTCCACTTTCCTCCAGCTTCCCCTTTCTCTTTTTTCAGCATGAAAAGTTGCCTTGTTCTGTGATTTTCTCTGTAATGTTTTAGGAGTATTGTAAAGTCAGCTATTGCAGTAAAACTACTGGACAGAAACTGACAACTTCCTGTTCTGCTTATGATGCACAACCTAAACATGTGACACAAGTATTGCTTTGAAAATCTTTCCATTCATCTTATTCTCTGAATTTTAACATTCTGATATTTCCAAATTCTGGAATCCTACTTACAATGCATTTGAACTCTACCCATTGTAATTCAGAGAGAGAGAGAAAAGCTGAATCCAACTCGACACCAGCAAATTAATGTGAGGAAAGTAAGGACAAGAAGAGAAGAGTGGGAGAGAAGGAAAATGGGCATTGAGTTTATAAGTGATATAAAGAAACAAGAGCAGGCAGAAAGCACAAAAGAGGCCAAGATACCCAAAGGGTTTGTCATTTTGTTTTACTCAAAGCTCTGTTGCTTGCCTGGCTTCCTAGCTGAATAAGATCATGAGAGTACACGTTGCTTTCCTGACTCTGATTTTTAACCAAATGGCAACTTGGCACAACTTGCCTTACTAATGCAGCTTTTCATGGATACCCTAACTACAACTCTGTATTCAGCTTATAGTTCTCTTTTAATGCCTCTTTAATACTGCTACTTATTTACAAAAAGCAGGACATTTCTGAAAGATAAAAGTATTGGAAGTAGTTTGTTTTAGAAAAAAAACTAAACCTGTTGGCCTCAGCATGTTATTTTTGATTTCATATTTTGCCCTTTTAATATTCCCTTTCCCATTTTTCCTGAACTAATATTTCACTTTGTGTAAGAAAATGCCTGTCCTGTCATCTTAAGGTTTCTATGGTTTAGAAATGATCAGTTTTTGCAGATATGAGCTACATTTGGCTGATGTTTGAATAACACCATATTGTGATCCACTAACAAATGAAAAAGAAAAATATTAAATAGGAAGTATTTGACAAAGAGGAGGTGAAGCGAATGCAGTTTATTCACATTGTGCTCCTTTTCCTATTCACATTTTAGATCACATGCCTCCGACATTACCAGCTACTCATATCCAGCCACTCCAAATCATTCCATCCATCAGCAGCCAATGATGCCTTCATATGGAGCAGGAGATGGCCTTGAGCATGAATACAGGCCACCATCTACAACAATGAGACATGCTACTTTGAACAGACCTCAGCAACCACCTCCGCCCCCACCTCAAGCCTTAGATGGATCTCTTGGCACTGTAACATTGGTACCAGCAGACTATGGGTAAACCTCTTGTCTTACTATTAATTGTGAAAGCATGTTTACCCTGCTCAAAAAGGCTCTCAGAAAAACTTACTTTAAATTACAAGCAAGATAGTTTCTGACCTCAGGCTTACAATGAAAAATACAGCAAAAAGTCAAAGAAGGATAGAGTGGGAAGAGGAAGTTTAACTATAGGGGTGTTCATTAGTCTCAGTGGAGGGAGGGGTATGTGTGTGGAATAATTACTGTTTGAGGTAAATATGGATGTGGGGAAAGGTGATGTGTGCACTTTTACTAGACAACACATGTAATTTGGCTTAGCTTTTTGTGCATGACGGAATAAGTAAGGGGTAACTGGCAAAGTTTTGTGGTGTACATCAGGTGCTCTGAAATATTCTGGAAAGATTCCAGATTTGTTGCTAAGTGGAGAAAGCAGTACAATCACATTTGATAATTTTTAATGCTGTAATATTCAAATGGAGCATCTATTAATGGGAGCACACTACAGATCTGCCAGGCAATACTTCAGTTTAACAAATACTGTGTTCTATTTTGTATATAGGATGCTTGCAGCTCAGATGGTGGATTATTACAATCCTTCGGGACCCCCGCCGCCTCCCCCTCCACCCATGATTCCTTCTGCACAGACCGCTTTTGTTAGTCCTCTCCAAATCCCTGTGCTACCTTCCCATCCTGGACTAGTGACTGGATCTATGTATTCTGCTCTTCATCCTCCTTCTACTGGGCTTGTTGTTACAGCTCCCCCTCCTCCAGGCCCGCCTCCTCCCCCTCCAGGCCCTCCTGCTGCAGGATCCTCTCTCTCCTCTCCGATGCATGCTCCTGCAGTGGCTGAGGCAAAACGACATGAGCATACACAGTCACCCATCAATGACGCTCGAAGTGATCTTCTGGCCGCTATTCGAATGGGTAAGGGCACACAAAAGTCTCCGCCCCAGCATACATTCTCATAAAGACTGGATGTTTTGGTTTTCTGTACCTATTAGTAATTGGTATAGTTAATTTGTAAGTAATTTGAGTGTTTCAGATTGAAATGGAGAGGATGGTTTTTCAGACATGGAAGTTGGATTTATAGCTTTCTATTCCCTTAAGATCCAATGATCAGCCCAGGATAATCTTTCAACCCATAAAAGATTGCAGCATGCTGGTTCTTTCTTGTCTTTATGACTCATTCAAATGGGTTTCCTATACCATGCAGTATTCAGAATATTTTAGAGCCAAGCAATCATTTTGGTGCTGGCCTCACCCTTTCCATATATGTTTCTATACATACGTCTGGAATGTTCAGAGTTGCCTTTCATCTCCCAATATAGTTGCTTTGTTAGTAATGTTCTCCTTAGAGGCTCTTATATTTTGAGGTTCATTGTCAAGACAGATTTTTTTTCTTCATTATTGTTTTCTTCGGGTGTCCTCACAATGTTTTGCTCACTGAATAGCTTCTGTGATTTCACTGGCATTCCAATTAACCAAGAAGTTACTACTATATGCTTTTAAAGGACATTCCACTTGCACTTTCTAATGGCATCCCATTCCCAGATATTTGCAGAGTGACCATGTGGTTTCAACCTTCTATTTTTATATGTCACTAGAGTACCGATGATAGAACCCCAGATCTAATGATGCACTTGGCAGTGCTATAAATATGTCTCTTCTGGAGTGACAACATTTACTCTGAGAATAAAGTGGCTTTCTAAATTTCCATTTTTATCTACTGTAGATTTACTTATTGTACTGTACTGTGTGTTTATTTTATGCTTTGTCTCAGCACTTTGTGCTATACATAATCCGCCCTGAGTCCCTTCGGGGAGATGAGGCAGGGTACAAAATAAAATAGTTGTTGTTATTATTATTTGTCTGACTCACAGAGGCCACAAATTAAATGAATGGGTTGCTCACCTGTAACTACACTTCTCAGAGTTATCAGCCAACTCCCCTGATGTTGTCAGTGTGTACAGGACTGTTTTGGATCTCGACACTTGCTGGAGTGGCCAGAGCTATTGCCAAAATAACTAATCAGCTCTGAAGCTGTCTGAATATTTTTTGTAAAGATGAACCTATTTATATGAGTTCATAAATGACTCCTGAAAGAACCAGTTACAAATAGGCATCCCATTTTTTCTTGGGCTACTAGATAAATGTCACTCTATACAAATTAAATTAAATCAATCTTGGGTATGCTACTCAAAGTAATGGACCATGAACAAGGGCTGGTCTATGGCCATTTGCCAGCAGGGAAAGAAACAGTGGGTAGTCAGTGGGCCCAAAAATGGGACTGACCCCAGTCACATTAGAACAAAAATGCTTGTATCCCACATCAGATAGCCTGAGAAGCACTGATCTAAAAAGAAAACGTATCTTAAATTTTTTTCACAAGATCAGGTTCATGTGGCTTCCATAATGGAAACATGCCTCCAGAATGTCAGACAATCATATGCATTGTTTTTCCATAAGTTTTTCTATCTTATTTTCATAAATCCATTGAATGGGGGAAAGCAAAACTGCTGCATGGTATCTTTTTATTGGTAGCTTAAAGAGTGGTATTTCTGGCAGAAACACAGGAGTGGCAGTCTGGTGATAGCTACAGTCATAATTCTGTGTGTTTGTGTGCTCGTGTGTTTGTCTTCAAGTTGCCTGTTGACTTATGGTAACACTATGGGTTTTCTTAGGTGAGGAATACTCACAGGTAATTTTGCAAGTTCCTTCCTCTGAAATATAGCCTGCAGCACCTGGTATTTGTTGGTAGTCTACTGTCCAGGTGCTAACCAGCATTGATTAACTTCCAAGATCAGAAAGGATCTCGTGCCTTTAGGGTATTTAAGCCCTATATGGGAACATTACAAGAACCCCTTAAAAAACTCTTTAGTGCTTCAGCTGTATCTGACTAGGCTAAACACTCTCTCCGTCCATTCCAAATTGCAGCAGTTTATGGGGATGATTTCATTGGCATTATTCTATGGCAAAGCAAGAAATCCCGATAAAGTTCAGGCCTCACCCAAACTATTTCCTTTTTTAAAAAAAGCATACAAACCAGGATTAACCATACAACTGCTATCATACCTATTTTGACTCACATGTTGGTGTTCTGTAACATATATGTACATAGAGAGAGAGAGCTCATTTCTGCTGGGAGACATCTTTTTGGAAACGTGTTTCTACTATTCAGTCATTTTTAAATAATGAAAACTCATTTTTGAAAGTATATAGCTGTCGAAAGGATCTGTTTCAAGTAATCTAGTGTGGATATGCATCTTTCACATCTGTTTCTATCAATCACTTTTAAAGAGTTATTCAAAATGTAACTAGATGATATTTAGATCCACCCACCCCATTCTGTCATATTTTTAAATGTCCCTCGTGTTAAAATTTTGCATGTTGCCAGGAAGGTATTGAGTTGCTTAAAGTGAAGTTGTTCTCATCTATATATTTTTAAAAATACAGCATTTGATGTCTTGCTGAAAGAACAAGAAGAGGATTTAAGCAACTTATCTCATTGCTAGTTTAAAGTGTAGCTCTTTTAAAAAAATGAGACGGGCCTACATTTAGCTGCTAAGGAGCCTAAAATGAAGTTGAAATTATATTTTATTTCATACTATATGAATGTATCCCTGCTTCTAAGAAGTTTGAGGTTTTTGTTGTATTCAGAGTACAGCAAAATTTATTAGTATTTGACTGTCTCACAAATAACATTAATATCGGATACTTAGTCAATCATTTAAAAAATAAATTGAGAGGGCATTTTCTTGGATCATTATTATTTAACATCAGAAAAAAACCTGTTTTTTCCAACCCAAAAATGACCTGGATACTTACAATTTTGTTTTTTGTTTGGGGGGAGGGCATCTTGGTAGTCTGAAAAGACTCCAGAGGATTTCAGAACCCCCCAGTCCTCAGATCCATCATGGATGCCTGTCACCTTATATAGACTGATGGAGACATGTTTGTATGTTAGATGAAATAGAGATGAATGCAGCTGTGGGGTGGTAACCCTTGTTGATAACTCCCAACACTTAATTTGGGGGTGGTAACACCCTCTCCATCCGGTACCTTGTCCTGTATGTACAACATCAGCAGTGAAGTTCATAGCATTGGTATCGTAAAGTACTCAAAAGATACTTGAGTGACAGTTTTCTCTGTTGGCCTCTAAAGTACATTCAAAGTGCTCTGTGACTAAGCCAGGACAATCAAGGGGACGGTGGCGTAACTTTTGGAATGTCTTATTTATAAACACAGTGTGCATAACAAAAAAAGCCCTTTGAAACGATAATATGTGTCAGAACAAACCCTAATCCCTGCTAACTAGATTTTGAGTCCTGTGCTATTTTTAGAAGAAAAATTCTGCCTGTAAAAGTTACAATTTTATATGCTATCTGCTTGTTTACTTCAGGCATCCAGCTGAAAAAAGTTCAAGAACAGCGGGAACAAGAAGCCAAGCGCGAGCCAGTTGGAAATGATGTGGCCACAATTCTGTCTAGACGCATTGCTGTGGAATACAGTGATTCGGATGATGAATCAGAATGTGATGAGAACGACTGGTCAGACTAAGATGAGAACATAGCATCAAAGCGTGCTGTGAATTCCTTTAGGAAATCATTCATTTTGTGTATGAGCAGAAATCTGTGTGGTGCAATTAACCTAGATTGATGGTGATCAGAATGCTATCATTTAGCAAATATTGGATCTGCTTATGCAGATCAAAAAAATACTATTTTCATTATCTGCTCCAGAATATGCCAGTGCCACTGAATGTAGCAAACCGTATTCAGACTCAAGAGAAAGCACTATTTGGAATTTCTTGACCATGAACCCCTATAATTGCTTATAATATTTGCATATTATAAACAATATTTTCAGTTTAATACAATTATTAGAGCTGGGAGCCTAATTGTAAAAAAATGGGAGATTGCATTTTACTTATTTTGCAATTTTGGCCCTTCTTTACTAAAGTGCACAAAATGGGTAGCAGCTCAAAGTCTTTTTCTTATTTTTTAAATATGTACTCTGTCCTACCTGTATGTGGTAGGTAAATTTTAGATGATTTTTTACATCATAGATCTACTTTTAAATATTCAGGGTTGGAGTCCTACAAATGATGTATGTGTGAAGGAACTGGACGACTTATAGAAATGCTGGATTTTCTCCTTGTTTCCTTAGGTATACACAATTTTTCATTATCTTTCAAAAATCTTAGGTTACAGGCAGTGGGCTCATTACAATGAATATTGCAACTATGATCATTTTTTTCTTAGGAATTGTTGAATTGGAAAGACAAGATAAATGTTTGGATCATTCCTGTTGTTTTTTTTTTTAATGACTACAAAAATTAAATTCCGGTCCTAGCATCTAAATACATAATCAATATTAAAGAATGATTATCAGGTCACTTTGACAATATAGATATTTTTTTTAACCTCTGGTATACAGTTTACAGAGCCGCATATACTATTTGTTGATAGACACATAATGCCTTTAGTCAGCTTAAGGGTACACTTGTGTCATCCTTTTCTTGGGTGCCCTCTTCTTGTAAGCAATCTTTTGTAATTAGCATGTTATGTGCTGTTAAGTTCAGCTTCGACTGGTGGCAACTCTACGAAAGAGGCCCTGTTATTGCTCAGGACTTGCAAGCTCAGGGTTGTGGCTTCCTTGGTGGAATCCATCTACCAATAATGTGGTCTTCCTCTTTTCCTTCTGCCTTCAACTTTACTTAGAATGATATTTTCCAGGAAGTCTATCATCTCATGATATGTCTAAGTACAAGGGTGAACTTGTTTCTTTGTCTTTTGGTGAATCCGTGATATCTTGTAGAACTCTCTTCCAGCACATTTCAAATGGCTGCTGTCTGTCTGCTTTCTTCACTCTCCAGCTTTCACAATCCATTACCTAGAAATCATAAGTGCTACATCATGGATCTTGATTTTGGTTGAATTTTATATCTGTACAGTTTAGTTCATTCCAGAATTCAGTTCAATTACTCTAAAGTTATTCATAAGTTATTGTTGTATTGAAATCTGTTTCAGCATTGTTTGTGTTTTCAGGGTGTTGTTAATGCCCGATTATGTTTAATTGAAACAGAAGTTCGGAAAAAGTTGGTGCAGACCCTTTTTTGGGGGGTGGGGAGGGTGAGCACAATGCCTCTCTCAGTGGATCCACTTTTTTATTCTTTCCTCTCATTTTCCCTTCTTCGTCCTGTAGCCCATATTACCCACAGAACAGATAGAATTATGAACAGAGGCAGCTACATTCCATTTTTGCTCACAACCTTCTTGCTTTGAAAGGACAGATGAGTGGTCACTGATACCAATGTGTGGAAGTAACAAGGTCATGGAACTTTCAGTTTCATTTTAACCTCCTACTTGAGTATAGGCCTTGATGTAGGTGCCCCTGGTGGCATAATGGGTTAAACCCTTCAGACCAGCAAGACTGCTGACGGACAGGTCAGCGGTTCGAATCCAGGGAGAGTGGGTTGAGTCCCTGTCAGCTCCAGCTCCCCATGCAGGGACATGAGGGAAACCTTCCACAAGGATGGTAAAACATCAAACATCTGGGCGTCTCCTGGGCAATGTCCTTGCAGTCGGCCAATTCTCTCACACCAGAAGCAACTTGCAGTTTCTCAAGTTTTTTCTGACACGAAAAAAATGGGACTTGATAGTACTAAGTGATTCTGTGACATAAACCCAATTCATTGAAAGCTGCTGTTGCATTCACAATACATTGGTATATATAAGCATATGGAAGATCAGTTCTAAAGTTGTCATGTAAGGAAAAATTAAAAATTCACAAATCTGATATGATAAATTATTTTTGTTATTGAAGAAGTATTAGTCCCCCCCCCCCACATTCTCTTTGAATGTAGATTTCTTTCACTCTTTCGCCCAATCAAATGAAAGGATTTTAAACTTTTCTCTCTTTTTTGTGCAAAGAAGACTTTGATTTATCTTAAATCTGGCCTCAACAACTATGCAATGGGTATAGTTAAATATGGCTTTGATCAAGATAGGTGTCACATTTTGTTCAAAGCCTACCCCAAGGTATTTTACTCTTTCAAGTGAGCTTTTCTCTCTTTCTCCTTGTCCCCTTCCTCTGAACTGACTAAAATACTATCCCTATAAATCATTTTGACATAACAGTTCTAAAATACCTGTCATTAAATATAGATTAATACGTGAAATGTAATTTCCTTTTTCTGTACTAAAGGCAGTCGGGAAAAGCGAGCCAGAACATCTCTTTATATTTCTTATTTTAAGATCTGAATAGAATGATGTTGATTAAGAATTATATGTCTTATGGCAGTTAGCTGGTAACAGGAAGGCCCAAAAATGTTTTTTTAATAACATGATTTCAATAACAGTCTTTAATCTTGGCATAAATGAAATAAGAACATATTACATTTGAGAGATTATGTGTGTGTTTTTCTCATTACTAATGAAATTTGGAAAACTACTGCACACCCCTTTTTTTAGCTCCCATGCCAAGCCCCTAAAGAGTGAAATGTCCTCAAACAATTAATCACTGCTCCTGGAATGGCAGTTTGCTTTTTATATATGTTTTTTAAAATATTCTTCTCTTAGGAAAGGACTTTAGAGTAAACCTGACCACCAAACTGCAGAAACGGACTGAAAGTATGGTAGTAAGATTTCATGCCAAATTTTCAGCTGAAAATGTAATGCAGCTTTACATAGATGCACAGGGGTGAAATTTGTACCTACCTGTGTTGTAAGTGTTCATCCTGGGCATAGAGGAAAGGCATTCAGAGATGCTTGAACAGTAAAAGGCCTGCGAATGTCATGTTGTTTTGGCTTTCTTTTTTATTCAGTCCATCAGACATGGATCACAGCTACAACAGTAAAAATTACTCAATGTATTTTAAAAGGATGCATTGTTTTATTTGAAATGCAAAGTAGTGAAGGTTTTTTTTGCTGTGTTTTTCTGATTTTCCTCATAACATACTTTATATTTAATTGTCCTGCAGTGTGTTGTCTGCCTATTCCGCACTTGAAATACATTAATAACTTGTGCAAAGATTGGAAAAAGAACAAATGGGGGAAAAGGCTTACACATATTCATTCACTTTTGTTCCTCTCACACACTATTATTATTATTATTATTATTATTATTATTATTTATACGCTTGTATACCGCTAATATCTCAGCCTAAGTCGGCGACACTAGTGGAGAACTATTCATTCTGCATAAACTATTTGATGCAAATCAGACAAAATTTGCAAATCAGACAAAATATGCTACAAGCAGTAAAAGAACAGGCTTGGAGCAGAGAACTCCAGATGATTCAAACAAGAAAATCTAAAGATAAAGATAAAATTAAATTATCATATTCAATGTGAAAAGAAATGCTACATATTTAGATGTCATAGTAATATACTCCAATGGTATGACTCCAGGATCTGTTTTGTGCTACAATAAGGCAAAGTTGAATAAATGTGTTCATGGTAAGAAGCAATAGACAGGACAAATTTCCTTAATTTTTCCAATCTCTCCAGCCTTCAGTATTGTCATCTATTCTGTGGTGGTAATGGAGACTTTATATAGGGGCTGAAATAAATTCTGTTTAGTAACAAAACTCAATAGAGAGACTTCAGAAAATTATGGTCTTCTTGGGTTGCTGTGAGTTTTTTTGGGCTGTATGGTCATGTTCAAGAAGCATTCTCTCCTAATGTTTTGTCTACATCTATGACAGGCATCCTCAGAGGTTGTGAGGTCTTCTTGTTTCCTAGTCACACCCTTCTAAGCACACTCTGTTGCTGAACCACATGTGTCCCAGCTTTCACTTGTAAAATATCAGACAGGACAGTATCCTGGGCTGCAAAAGTTTATGGCACAAGTAAGAGATTAACATGGTTATTGTCGTTGAACAAGCGGTTTAAGTAACTGCTTGAGCAAGTGGCTAACTGCTGAACACACTTAAAATTGAAACAGTTGTTTGGTTCATTAAGAGAAATTGTCTGAGCCTGCAGCACTACCTTTCCGCTCTTATTTGTACTGCTCAGAGAAGTGAGAAATGGCACTTCTGCCCACTGGGCTCAGAAGATAGTTTCTCATTATCCCTATGCAAGGCACTGTGTGTAACTAGTAATGGAGAAGGCACGGTAGTAAGTCTATAATGTCAGCATCTTATAACTCAAGAGCCCATTGACACTTCCATACCCATATGGGCCTTGTGCTAGGAAGTGCAATCATTGTCACACATTTATGCAAGTTCTTAAGCTGAGAACCATTGTCTGTCCAGCATTTCTGAAGCTCATGAAGCTGGGATCTAGTTTCTTTTCTGTTTTGCCTAACAGGTTCCTAAACTAGCACAATGCTTCTTTAGTAAGCTGACCAAATAAAAAGTTACCACCTTGTGCACTTTCTATATTAAATATAATGGACAACATTAACCACAAGTATTCTTTTTTCTCAGTGACTTTCAAATATCAAGCTTGCTATTTTGAGTAGCACCAACACAGATAAAGTGTGATCTCTAAATGTATATAAAGATCCTGAGTTCACTCAACACTTTTCTAGCTCAGGAATCAAGATTTTGCCTTAAAATACTGGGATAAACTGCTCTTGGCCTTGAAAATGGAGTTGAAAGAAATTACATGGATATACTTACGGCACAGAAAATATGTACCTTCATACTGAGTTTCATCCAAAATCTCTAGAACTGAATTCTACTGTACAGGCCCATTCCCAGGATTTTGATTTGGGGGGGTGCTGAGTTTGATTGGGGGGGGGGGTGAGGATCTACCCTAGCAAACCTTTTGTATCATTATCCCAATACCCCCTTGCATATTGGATATATTAAGCATGGTGATCAGATCATGATATGAATAAACATAACAGTTTGAATAATGTACCAGTAAGGCCTTCTCATGGACCACGCTGAGAATTTCGGGGGGAATTTCAAGCCCCCCCCCCTCCGGGCTACATGCCTGCTACTGCATTTTCTGAATTCTCAAGGAAGCAGAAGGTAGCCATCAAGAGAATTCAGGTAACCTGATCTCTGTTTGTGGGCAATATCCTGGACCCTGAATATAATTTGGGTTTTCTGTGGGAAATTCTGCTTCCTTATAGTTCCATTCTGCGGTACTTGGGATATAATGGTGTTAATATTTGCCTATTTATCACAATATGATGGTAGTGTTGATCAGAAGAATATTATTCTACATATTCCTTTGGTAGAACAAATATAGTGTGACAAGGCAGTATTTCCTGTATTGATATCAGAGTATGGCAGAAGGTTTTCCTTTGATGTGTTTCTGATACACTGATATTACACTTTTTACCACTATGAAAGATTCTAAAAATATTTTAGGAGCACAGAAAAAGATCAACTCTCAGAATATTTGTATTTTAATTAAACCACTAAATGAGTGATATGTAGTTAAGATTTACAGCTTAGGTGGACAATTTGTTTTCTATATTTGAAGTATTTTCTCATCTCTTTTCAGTATATGTCCAATAAAAATGTAAATCAAAATTAGTGAACTAAGTTTACACATTAGGTAATTTTACCTTGTTTATATATCTTTTTCTGGTTATGTAAAAGTTACAGTTTCAAATAAAACTTATGTTTGAAATGTAATTATCTGATCTTTTTTCCTGTTTCATTGCAGTTCTAGTAAGGGAAACATTCGTATGAGTCATGAAATAGTGAAAGTCTTTATTAATATAGGTTGAGCATCCCTTATCTGAAATGCTTATTAGGACCGGAAATGTTTGAGATTTTGCTTTGTTTTTTTAAATTTTTGCATACCTATATTTGCATATGCATATGTATACATGAGGAGCCTTCGGTGGCACAGCGGGTTAAACTGCTGAGCTGCTGAACTTGCTGACCAAAAAGTTGGCAGTTCGACTCTGGGGAGCAGGGTGAGCTCCTGCTGTTAGCCCCAGTTTCTGCAAACCTAGCAGTTCGAAAACATGCAAATGTGAGTACAATAGGTACCACTCCAGCAGGAAGGCAACGATGCTCCATGCAGTCATGCCAATGACATGACCTTGGTGGCATCTACGAACAACGCCGGCTCTTCAGCTTAGAAATGTAGATGAGCACCACCCCCCAGAGTCAGACAGGATTAGACTCAATTCCAAGGGGAAACCTTTACCTTTACTTTTTATCCTTATACACATAACCTGAAGGTATTTTTTTTCAAGATTTTTTATATACATGAAGCATAGTTTTTGTATGCTAAACATCAGAAAACAAAGATGTCATTTTCTTCAACCACCCATGTGGACAATTTTAGATTTTTATTTTCTGGATAAGGGATGTTTGACCTGTACTGACTGTTGCATTTCCTCTCCTGAGACAAAGAATGTGCTATCTTTATCATTTGAATTCACCTAATTTGCAAGTTATGTAAAACTAAAGAACCTTAGCGAAACACTTTTACTTACCTACCGCAGGCTTTGCCAACCTGGCGTTCTCCAGATGTTTTTGATTGTTGTGCCCACATTCCCCCAAGTGTTGCCAGTGCAAATTGGGCTGTAGTCCAATTTTTTTGGAAGTCATCAGTTTGGGATGGGTACTTGAATTGGTGGGTGTTTGGTAAATGCCAGAATCTCCTATTGATGTCCATGGTGAAGCAAGAGCTTAACCCCAGTTGATTTTTTTGTACCATGTATATTCTAGGCCCAGTTGTTTTAGTGGGAAAATTATTTATTTATAGAATCAGAGTCATTGAGTTGGAAAAGACCTTGTGGGCCATCCAGTCCAATTTATTTTTATCCCACTTTTCTCCCATGGGTGGGATTCAAACTGGCGTACATGGCTAAAAACAGCAAAATAAACATAACATAAAAAATCAACAAAAACATCATAAACCTCATAAACAGATAGCACACAATACATACCATATTTAAACAAATTAATAAACTAATAATACATCATTAAAATACTTAATGGAGGAAATCATTATGTGATAACGTAACAGCTCAGTGTTTGATCCATTTGGCTCTGTTAATATAGTCTAAAGAAAAGAACGTGCAGGTTCTTGATCAAAGTTTTCCTTTTTCATGAACAGACTTTGTTTCTGCCGAGTTACCTAGTACAGACATTTATTGATAAAAGGGCTTTTAAATCTTATGTCTGAGGAATATTTGAAGTAAATGGCTAGAAGTCACAGGTTACCTATAATTAATTACTTTCACCCGTGACAATGATATAAGTTACACTGGGATTGTAACAACAATGGATTCTGTTTGGACAGTAGCTTTTAATGCTTCATGTATAGTCTAGGGCAGTGGTTCTCAACCTGTGGGTCCCCAGATGTTTTGACCTACAACTCCCAGGAATCCCGGCCAGTTTACCAGCTGTTAGGATTTCTGGGAGTTGCAGGCCAAAACATCTGGGGACCCACAGGTTGAGAACTACTGGTCTAGGGAGTATGGTGTTATTAAATGGGAAATGAGGCATAACATAGTTCAAGTAGCTTAAAATCTAACATTTATTTTCTTTCCAGGAAGAGAA